TGACTAGATATTTCGAGGAGATATTCCAGAGCAGTTAAATATGCCCAGCTCCTCCGTGCCTTTGAAAAATCTCACCCCTCTAAAAAATTAGAATTGATTTTGTATTTAAAAAGGAATCTATTTAATTTAAAAGTAAGATAATTTGAAATCATGACAGCTTGTATTAAAGCCCAACTTTATGATAATCTATTAAAGTCACTGAAGTTAAGAACCTTCTACCATCCTTTGATGCCAAGGCTCCCTTCAAGGTAATGGGGAATGGGGGAATTGGGGCATGAGGGGCTGTGCTGCCCCCATTTCAGGGCACAGCAGCTGGGCTGGAAACTGGTGGGGCAGGAAAAGCTCCTTCAGTTCCACCAAACTCAAGGAAACAGAAAGAGGACATCAAAATTCTGGTATTTCAGGACCTCGAATTATCCAGAGCCCAGAAAGCATGGGCTCGACCCATCGGCTGCGCTTTCTAGTTCCTCAAGTCGACTTTACACACAAAAAGGTATTTTAAGACTTCACTTTTCAACTACCTTGTTCATTACAGAGAAGGCAAAGGAGTCAAAGGCACCGTCTTTCATGAGTTTCTTTAATTGCATCGCAAATCTCCGCCAAGCCCATGGGGCCACAGGAAGCCAGGATGCTAATAAATACCCTGCTTGCCAGTTTATAACCTGCGAAGGATGGGGCCCAGAAAAATTAGCAGCCCGCAGGAGTGTGAACCCAGTTAATGACATATCAAATGCGGTTGGATGCTGCCGAGCCAAGCAGTGAAGAAGAAGGGGGTGTGAAGGTTAGCGGACAGGGAATACTGAACTGCTAATTAGCATTTCTTAATGGTCACCAACCAGTGAGACGCAGCCTCCCTTTAGGAGAAAATACAACTAATGCAACAAACACAAAATGAGATGAAAGGCAACCATTTCAAATTGAGGTTTCCTTGGTTTAAAGCAGGATGAAACAGGGTGATTTTAAATGCAGGCAGCCCCACGCGTATCAGCAAGCAGCCCTATCCCTGCTCCCACACCCTCTTCACTTCCCGAAAATTCAGGAGGTGGGAAAATAACCCACAGCAAAGCAGGAGGATGGTATCAGAGTCCCTTTGAGGACATGCATATAAAACAGTGTGGGTTTTTATGGGTACAAGCTTGAAAGGCAATACACATGGGGACCACGTGTGCTGAACTGCTCCTGAGCAAACACGGGCAGAGAGGCAGCACATGTACAAGGCAGGAGCAAGTGCAATTAAAACACACTCTGTTTGTTAGCAAAGGGAGCTACAAAGCAGATGAAAGCCCTGCCCAAGTGCCTTCCCTCCTCCCACACGAGGGGTAATAATCCCACAAATCCCTCTGCTTTTGGAGGAACATGGGATCAGCTGCAGGGTCTGCATGTTTGGTTGGGCTGAGCACCAATGCACCCAACACACCTGCCTCTGGCAGCAGAATGGTGCACGGGAAGTGAGCAGCAAGCAACGCCTCACTCTCTTGGGTAAAGAGAAATACAAAGCTAAAGCTGTGGGCAGCAGATCAAGGCAAGTGCATCCCCCTGAGCCCTCCACCAAGCCACAGCTTGAGCAGAAGCAAATGCGTGTAGGCAATGGATGCCGGTCCCCCACGTGACATTCCCACCACCCCCTGCAGACCCTCAGGCAGGAGACTGCCCAGGTCCCCATCATCCCCACTGACACAGGTAAACCCCCGCAGAGCTTGGCATGGAGGGGTCCATCAGAGTCCCCGACACACCACCTACCAGCAGCGAGGGGATGCCCACAACCTCCACACTCACCATTAAGTTGGTTATGTTACTGGAGCAATTCATCGGGGTCGGAAGTGACAGCCAGTTTTGGGGTGCCCAGGTCAACACACACCCCTGGGACTTTATTTTTAGCAAGCATCATATGTGGCTCTCCAAAGACCCCAGCACATCTCTTGCTGGGGGAAAAACCTTGACATTGGAAGGATGTCCAGCTTGACCACCATGGCAGGGGGGTACCACCAAGGCAGAGGAAATCATATACACCAGTCTCTGTGAATGGTGGCCAAGCTTGAAACCACTTGAATTATTTAGGGAAGTTTAGAAGAGACAGCCAAGCCGAAGGGGGATGACACCCAACCACTCCTGCGCTTCCCAATCCTGACCCTGTCCTGGCTGCTCCCCTTGCCCCTTCCCCTGCCACAGTGCCGCAGCCACCTCCCCATATGCTCCCACCCTCCTGGGGGGAAACTGAGGCACAGAGTGACCTCAAAGGAGTTGCTCAAGAGCCCACATGGCAGAGTCAAGGTGCCACTGCCAGGAGCACCTGTGCATCGCCACCTGCCATTCATGGTGCTCCCAGCCTAAACCCAGGCCTTCCCTGGCCTGGAGGCACCACCCTGGGGTCTGGTCCAAGCTCCTGTCAACCAGTGGGGCAGCTCCCCTCCACTCGTGAGCCCCTTCCCTGTCCACAGGCCTTGGGACCAAAAGCCACTGAGAGGAGGAGCAGCTGCCCAACTCCAGGGTCAGAAGCACAGACACGGGTGTGCAGATTATCCACCACTCTGACACACTATTATGCATTCAGACTCAACAAGGTGGGCACAATTAATGGATCTGGGTATTGACAGACGTGGTGCAATCAGCACCGTGTGAACCCAGGTTCTTAGAAGAATGCTCAAACACACTTTCCAACCCATGCATGAGGGCCTGTGGAAACACAAACAGCCACTGACACCAGTTCGACCTGACATGGCCATGTCCCCACTGAGTATAGCATGCTCGCAAGACTCTATGCAGTCCAGGGCTTCTGCATGCAAAAGCAATGCCCAGGATAGCAATAATATCAACAACAACACCCACACATGGCAAAGGATGAAAACAAAAACAACAACAATAATAATAATAATACCCACACATGGTAAAGTTGCCAGGTCAGCTTCCAAGCAAGCCCTTGTCTCATAGAAGGGAGGGAGGTGTTTCCTAGGAATCACCAAGCCAAAACCCTGGCAAACAGGGGGCCCGCAAGGTGCCTCCTCCTGCCAGCCCAGCTCCAAGCCCCAGCATCCCAGGTGGGGAAAATTTTACTAGGACCACCTCTGTGTCTTCACAGGCCAAACCCTTCAGTGCCAGGGCCAACACAGTCTCATGCACCCACAGGATTTTGGGGACCGATGTCCCTGGTGGCAACACCCGGGAGAGCCTGGCCACCACAGGAATATCAGGATGCACCGGCACAGAACCATCCATCCTTGTGCTTGCCTGGTGGTGGTAAGAAATGAAGGCAAAAGCAGCCACCTGCCCAGCATCATCAGTTTAAGTCCTGGGTGCAACAGGGTCTGTCAGGTCTTTTCTTTCACTGCCCAGCATATCACACCTCATGGATTTGAAAATCATGGGAAAAATCCCTGCAGTACCAGCCAGGGGCTATGCACAGGGACCCCCACCAGATCACAGCCACACATCCCTGCCCAGTTGCTCCTCACCGGCAGCACCCCAGGGCCTATCAGGGATGGGAGCAGACCCAAGGGAGTCAGGAGAATACGCACTCACATTGCCTTTGGGGCATCAATGTGGCGTGAGGCTGGCGGCCATGCCTGCAAGTCCCCCTGCATCTGCAGCGCTGCCGCCCTGTTGCCACAGCAACGCTCTCCGGCCTCCGCCGCAGCCTCCCGCAGCACGGGGCTTGGACCAGGGGACAAGGGGGCCACGCAGCCTACTGCCCCCTCCTTACACAGCTCCCGGCCTCGAGCGAACCAGCCCAGGGTATTCCCACATACCTCCCCACCTATAGCATAAAAAGCCCCCCACCTGTCTCTGTCTTTCCCATGGGAAAAGGGGGATGCCCATGCAGCAGTGAGCGCTGCCCCAAGCCCACAAAGCCCACAGGATCGGGGGCTTTTTTGCACACAGATGAATGAAGGTGACAAAGCGCTGGGGAGAAGACCCAACCCACCAGGTTAGGGCCACTGCTATACTCTGCTTGCACACAAGGGTGGCACAGAGGAGCAATGCCACACAAAGCAACACACTAGTGCCTCATTTTCGTACCAACATTCAGACAAGGGTGGTATTTTAAAAACTGCAAAGGGCACCCGAGGTGCCACAAGAGCAGCAGCAAATGGACAAGGCTTGCAGGAGGTGTTCACAGTCACTGAGGGGCTGCTAGGAAAGCAACAGTAACATCTGCCCAGGGCAGGGGGTTACGTGCAGGCAGTGGTAGGAAACTGGTATTGTGTACCAATGTCACTAAAAATTAAAAATCTCAGCGACTTGTTCCAGGTGGCAGGGAGGATCCCCACTCACAAGTGGCAGAGGCCTTGCTCAGATCCCAGTGTAAAAAAAATGGAGCAAATTGTTGGTTTGTTTTTTTTTTTTTTGTGGAAGAGAACTGAAAAAGCCCACCAGATTTGGGCAGATGAGGTTTAGGCAGTAGGTGAAATGCAGAGGCCTGGCTAGAGGAGGTGGGAACCACCTGGACCATATGAGCAGGCCAAAGCCTAAAACCTCAGAGCAGGAACACTGGAGTCAGTATACACAGGTAGGATGGGAAATGCTGGGCACTGGAGTGTTTTTCCACCAGGCTGAAGGAAAAGTGACTCTGCTCAGGGGTGGACAAAGCAGAAACCCTTACCTCCAGCCAGGCACACCAGAAGCAGACTGTGGGCCTTCTGCCAGCACAAGCCACCAGTGGCCATGCAATCAGCAGGGAACAAGCCCTACAGATGACAACCTGGGGATGCACAGAGCACCCCAGGCCTGCAGCATCTCCATGGCATCCAGCACGGTGCTTGCTGCCAGTGTCCAGATGCTGCAGCAGGGTGAACAGGCACCGGGGGCGAGATACTGCAGCAGGGCAGCAGGTGTCACGGCCAGGGCCGAGATGCTGCAGAGGGTGAACCGGCACCGGGGCTGAGAAGCCGCAGGGGACCCGCACGCCGGTGCCGCAGGGAGGAGCCCCGCAGCCGGGGATGGTCGGGGCCCGCCGCCGGGAGGGGAGGTGACCCGCCGCGCACCGGCCCTGCCCGCAGGCTCACCCAGCACGAAGTAAGGCAGCTCCGTGTTCTCCAGGTCATCCACCACCACCATCTCGCCGGGGAAGTCGTTGCGTACGGAGAAGAGCAGCTTGGGCTCGGCGGCCGAGGGGCCGTGCATGATGCTGAGGTCGTTCTCCCGCAGGAAGGGCAGCGCCGACACCGTGATGCTCTTCAGCTTGCACTCCAGCTCTTTGGCAGCCGCCTCCGCCGCTGCCTCGGCGGGGCCGCTGCCCGCGGCCAGGCAGCAGCCGGCGAGCAGGGAGCACAGCCCGGCCAAAGCCATCTTGGAGCCCCGCGCCGCGCTCACAGCGCCGGGCGGGCGGTGGCGGCGGCGAGGGGCGGGGACGCGGGGCACGGCGCCTCCCCGTGCGGCTCGGCACGGCACGGCGCGGCTCGGCACGGCACGGCTCTGCTCGGTTTCCCCTGCCCCGCGCCTCCCCCTTCCTCCGCTTCTCCAATCTTTTACCCCACCCATGGAAAACCGTGCGGGCTGCGGAGCGATGCGGTGGCAGAAGAGGTGCCGGTGCTGCCTGACCCAACCCAACTACCTTTGACACCTTCTGCACTGAAAGTAACTTACAAGTACCCACCCAGGAGAAATCACAGACCTCCGAAGTCATGAATGTCCAAAATCCCACGAGAAGTCACAGACCCAAAAGCCCCAGAAGTCACCAACCTCCAAGATCCCAGGAGAAGTCATGGATTTCCAAAGCCCCCAGACCTGTGTATACGGGGGGTTGGGGGAGGGAATAAAAAAAATAAATAAAAATTAGAGGGTAAGGGCCAACCCCAAAGCTGCTGGTTCTTTTTGCACTGAATGCTTTTTATGTTCACTCTCTTTAAGTGAGCTCAGAGCAGCACCAACAGCTTGCCCAACCATCAAACCTTCCTGTAAACACCTATAGTTCTGCAGACAAAATGTTGGTGTTAAATGTTCTCCTCTCCCAATGTCAGATGAAAAGCCCAGGCCTAGTCCAACAGGCACACACGACCGTGCCAGTCTGGTTTTCACCCTTGGAGGCTCTCTCCTGCCGTCTGACATCCCTGGAGCAGAGGGGTGTAGAGACAGCGCTGCCCTAGAACTGGAGCTTCCACCCCACCAGCTCCTTGTGCAGGACATGGCTCCATCCCACCTGATGCCTCCGAAGGACACCACGCACAGCAGACAGATCTTACTTCAAAAAAATCTTGCAATATCTTTTCTTTTTCAGAGCTTCCTCCTCACCTTGCAGAAGCCGCGGGGAATTTCCCAAATTTCTCCTCCCTCATTCACGCCAGCGTGAAGCTTAACATGCCCTAGTATGGGCATCATGAGGGGAGCCTCTATCCCAAACACACCAAGCATAGATGCTTTTCCCGACCCATTTCTGGTTTATAATAACCCTCAGTTACCCACCGCATTTTGGGAAAGAAAAACTATTCTCACCAGAAATGATCCATTTCCAATAGCAGCCTCTTTAACAAAAAGAGCCAAGCATCAAACTAAACATAAACGAGTGAGAATGTAGCAGGATATGTTTCAGCAACGCAGTCCCCCTCCAGCACCAACTGGCTGCAGCTGCCAGCAGAATCAATTAGAATAAACAGGAAAAATCAGGAAAAATGAGCAGCAGTGCTTTGTAGGACAGGGCATGGCCCTAGAAGGGGTACACGAAAATCTCTTTGAGGGTCTCCACCAGGCCCTTTCCTTCCTCTTCTCTCACCAGGGGATACAAACTCATTAAACTCATGAAAAAAAAAGGTGTGACACTCAGAAGGTGTCGCCAAGAAGATCCTTGTTGACTTTTGGAAACAGGAGCATCTCCAAGAGCAGTGCCCCTGTAACATCTAACACTGCACAAAGAGGAGCAAACAAGGGGCTTGGCAGGAGGCGTGAATAATAAATACAGATAAGTAAAACACTTTAAACCAGCAGAGAACGGTAAATCCGGCGCCACCAACCACGTCCTCCTGCTGACTGCTCCAATGCACGACATCCACATCCCGAACCTCGTGAATCATTTACCGGTATATGATGGGGTAATTTGGCACAACCACGACTCCTTTGAAGTCCAGACGACGCCAGCGCCCTGCCGGGGCCTCTAGCCTGCAACCCCTGCGGGGCACCGCGGGGAGGCCCACGCGGCCCTTCTGCGGGGCGCGCAGCTCCGGGGCCGGGAAGGAGAGCAGGAAGGGCCGGCGGGGATGGGAGACCCCCGCGGCGGGGTGGGTGGGCCGGGCCGGGACCGCTCCACGCGTGTCCCCCACCCCGCCCCGAGCACGGCACCGCCAATGGGATGGCGCGGGGAGGCCGGCGGCGCCTTTTATTGGCTGCCGCCCCTGCATATATTATCTGGTGGCGGCGGCGGCGCCCGCGGAGAGCGGCGGGACTCGGTGCGGGGCCGGGAGCGCGGTCGCGGGATGCTGTCGGGGCCGCCGGGGGCCGCCGGCTTCTCCGGCGATGGGGCGTTGTGGGGCGGCCGGGAGGCGGCGGCGGGGCAGAGCCCGGGACTGCTGAGGCGCAGAGCAGGTGGACGGGACGGGATGGAGCGGCGGCCGGTGCCCCGCCGGTGCTGAGCCGGAGCCTGGGGTAAGTCTGCAGGGTCGGGGAAGGGGGTGAGCCGGCGTGGGAACCCTGCTGGGGGGGGGTGCGATGGCTTGCGGAAAGGGGAAGGAGAGGGAGCAGAGGGGGAAAGCCGCGACCGCGTACGGCGGAGATCCCGCGTACCGCCGTGCGCAGCTGTGGAGACGCCGCTCTGCCGCCGACGGCTTGCTCGGTGACCTTGGTCAAGTTGCCTTCGTGCTTCGGGATCGCTTCGCAGAGAGGTGTAGAGAAAGGCAACGAGCTCTTCCTGGACGGGAGCCACCGCGGTGCGGGTCCCAGCAGGTCCGGGGGGCTGCTACCGGTAAACAAGGTACCTGGGCTGCTGGAAACCTCCTACCGCTCGTGCAGCGTACCCTGCTCCGAGGATGATGCCGGTGTGAGGCGTCCCGGAGCCGCGGGACCGGCGGCGATATCCCCTCAAGCGCTGCCCGCATCTCCCCTGCGGGGCACGCACTGAGCCAGCGCCGCAACGCTGGGCTCTCTCGCAAGAGAGCGAGGCGGGAGCGGGCACCTTTCAGAAGGTGTTTGCTCGCCTTGAGCGCTGCATGTGTTTCCCAGAGCGGTGCCGGGGCTGGCCGCTCCAGGAGAGCGGGGTCCCAGGCTGCGAGGTCCAGTTCCGTTCTCTAAGCATTAATTTGTTTCAGTAGGAAATAAAACTCTGGATCTTCAAAGCACCCGGCTGGGGAGCATCAGGTCTGAGCACAGGGATGTCCATCCTGTCCTGCCCCTTCTTAGCAGGACCCCTGTGTCGCCGCCCTCCGAGCCTGCCCTGGAGCAGGGTGGCGGGTACCAGAGCTGCCCCCGCTGCTGTGCGGGGCCAGGCAGGGTGAGCCGGGGTGCTGTTGCGGGTCGGGGAGGGAGCTGCCGGCAGATGTCAGTGTCCCCCCTCTGTCAGCAGCCAGGAGGGGTCCCTACCAGCCCCGGAGATGTTGCAAGGAGGTCCCTGCACTTCTCCCAGGCAGAGCTGGCTTTGGTGCATTCAGGGACAGCTTCGAGACCTGGGGAGCAGAGAGGGGCTGCGGAGGGGAGTGGCCCCATTCTGACAACCCAGGTCTCTTCTCTCTCTCTGCCCAGCACCAACCACACACCACCGTATTTACCCTGGACTGCTAATGCTGAGCTACCACTGTGCATCACTGCCCACCTGTGTGAAAGCAAGTGAGGGATGGAAGAGAGCAGTGATCACCTTGAACTGCTTTCATCCAGCTCCTGTGAGAGGCTGATACTTGGCTTGCAGGGTCCATCATGAGATAAGGAGCCATCTTCTCTGGGAAGGGGGCTGCAGGAATACTCTTCCACAGCTCTCGTGTGCAGGGATGCTCTTGCCCAGCCCCAGAAACCCATCTGCAGGGATGCTTCAGGCTGAGAGCTCAGCACAAGGCAGGGGAAGCCAGGGCTACTGCTGCCATCACCATGCTGGGAGGACTTGTATTTTGCACATTGCTCTTTTAAGAGGCTTTTTGCCCGTGGGTGTGAAAGTCTCGGGTGAGCAAAGCCAGAGGGCAGAACACATGGTGCTGGTGTGACACGATACATGGAGCTGCTATCTCCCCTGATGGCAGCCCAGGCTTCATCTCATTTGACGTCTTATGCAAATCCTTAGCTCCGAGAGTCCTGGGATTTTCTACTATTTTCCTTTACTCTCATCTTCAAGTGCCTTGCTCTTGAGGATGTGAAGAAAAGCTAATAAAAGGAACCCAAGTTGTCAAGTCTTGCAGGTTTTAAAACCAGTCTCATGAGCTCGAGAAAGGCAGTGATTTAAAGTCACTTAGCAATAGCAACAGAATGGGCTACAGAGGGTGGTTAGCAGAAGCCTAGAGAGAATTGGTTCGCAGCCACCATACTGATCGTCAAGATTGCCGCTCAGGCAGGGATGGAAGGCTCTGAGGTGGCTGTCCTCATGCTCGCTGCCTGGAGCCGCGTCTCCGCAGGCTGGGTGCCAGGCTGCTGACAGCACCCCGCCGTGCCCACTTTGCCAGCGATTACTGTGCTGCTGTCGCTCCGGCAGTGCCTGGCTCGCTCTCTTAATTACCTCGACAGATCAATGAGGCCCTGGCGCTTCCTTGGGAGCGTGCGGATGACAGCCCGGCGGCGGCAGATCCTTGAAAACCACAACAGAGCTGGGGGGACAGAGGAGGCAGCGGCATGGGCAGGGCTAGGTGCAAGGGAGCAGGTCCTCTGTAGGTAGCCCCACATAAGGTTGGTGGCACTGGTTCAGAGCACTGGGCTGAGCATCCTTTGGGATTGTCTGTCCTGGGGGTGCAAGCGGCAGAGCAAGAGGTGCCAGGGTGCCTGCATGAATACATATAGGCACAACTGAGCTGAGACAATCCACTTCAGAATCTAAACTGCACTTAGCCTCTGCCCAGACTCCTTTTAAGTGGCCTTAATTTGATAAAGCTTCCCCATGTTTAATGAGAAGGTGACTCAGTCGTCAAGTTTGACATTCTTTCCCACTAAAAGACATCCCCAGGGAGCTCGAGATCCATCCCCGTGGCTCTCAGCTCCCACACAGATGCACCTCTGTTCCTGCTGTGCCCCAGGGACTAGCCCCCATGGCTGGGCATGTCCCACAGCTCTGCCACCGATAAGTACTGCTCCACTGGGCACAGACATCAGATGCTGCTTTTTTGCTCCAGTCTTCAGTTCGGCATTCACAGGGTATAGTGCCAGAACCTGTCTGGAGTCCCTTTCTTCCCCACAGCACCCAGCAAATACCACCACAGCTCTCCCCGGCACACGCTTCTCGGTTTATGTGTCTAGATCCACTCCTGCTGCATGAAAGGGCAGAAATCAATGTTAATGTCCCTGATAATTAGCTAATGTCTTAATTATTGAGCTCAGCCTGATTAGTGGTGGAGCGTGTGGCTCTGAAGATGCCGTTGGCATGGAAGCAGGCAGGACCCCAGCATAACTCTGCAGGACATCGCTGCTGTTGCCGCTAGCTCCAAGGGTAGTAGAGAAAGGCTTTTGCACTTCACCCGAGCACATGAGCATCCTCATCCAAACCTCACATCATTCTGTCTTGGTCTCTCTTGAGCCGTTTTGGATGAGGGCACCCACCGCAGAAGCAATCCCATTGCCATCTCAAGGGTACCTCTAGAAGTTGCAACAAGCTATTTTTAAGTTGCAGCGCGTGACACACCAGCCTGGGCTTTGCGCCGGCCATCACTGGAGGGACATTGGGGTGTTCTGCTGCAGGCAACAGGGACACAGAGGGCTTGCAATAAGATCAGGAATACTTGGCAAAGGATGTTGTGGTCTTGGGAAAGTTTGCCAAAATATTTGCATTGGCACTCTTTTTATAGAAGAGGGAGGAGAAAAAGAAAAATTAACAAGCTGGAAGTTTTCCAACTTTAGTGATGCAAAACCCTAAAAAAAAAGCAAAAATAAAAAATAAGTAGTCAGATGCTTCTCATCAAACCTTCATTCTTCTGGATCAAGGAAAAGTGATTAGAAAGTTATTTCTAGCTTCAGTAGTAAGGTCGAGGGGGTTACTCATTTCCAAAGAGCTCTGCTCTTCCCAGCATCCCAGGAGGATGCTGGTGTGAGCAGGCAGAGGTGCACCCTGATAAGCATTGCCCCTGCCCCTGCAGAGCAGCAGAGCCCCCAACCTGTGTGGACTTGGGACTATACGGAGCTATAGCAGTTTCTGCATGTACTTATCTTGTATAACTTGTGGTAGATACAAGCAAATAAATTAGCCCAGGTAACAATGATGCAGGGAAGCTGCTGCTCAGGTATAAGCTTGCTGTGTAACTCTGTATAGTCCCCATGCAGGCTCTCCTGCCCACTGTGGCTTCCCTGTTCCTGCCTGACCTGGAGCTTCAAGTCTCTGTTGGGAAGGATGCTCATGTGCGTCAGCGCCTGTCCCCAAGCAGGAGCTGCCTCAGAGTTGCCAGCACTCATGGTGTAAATAAGAGATAGGTGTAAATAAGAGCTCATTTAGCAAGGCTGGAAACTTGGCTGCTTTGAGGGACTCTGCACACCAGGAGGGGACCTTCATTGGATCTGCACCAGCTTGCACCAGTCAAGTGCTGAAAATACCCAATTCTGACTATTTTTATTGCTCTATAATAAAACATGAGGAGGCAACAACGAAACATTCCATGTTCAGCCTTGAATCTCAGAACAAGCTCCCCAAGGAAGGCAATAGAGCAGGCTGAAATGGTTTCTAGCTGGTCTGGGGACCACAGCCTAAGAGAAGGGGTGACCCAAAATGGCTCCATCCTTAATATCTGTCCCCATAATGATCATCCAGGTCTGCTGCCTTGAGCTGCAGTGCTGGGTGAGGAGAGAGGGTTTTGAAGGGAAGGTCAGCACAGGAAGCCTCTCTTGGGGAAGGCACTTGGGGGTGACTGCCATGGTGGTGACAAGAGGCTGATCAGTGCTGGTGGGAAGCTGTTAGCAGCCAGGATGGTTTGCTGGAAGAGACAGTGCTCTACCTGGTCTCTCAAGAATATCCCCTGTGTGCGTTGAATCATAGGAAGGATGCTCCCACATCCTCCTGATTTACATGAGGAAAGCCTCGGGGAGGGCAGCAGCATGACTGGCACAAGACCATCCACACTGGACTGTGCTGGGGTGAAATGGTGAGGAATGAGCCCAGTTTCCCATCACAATTGTGGAAAATCATCCCCTTGGCTGTACAGACCTTGGTGGAGGGAGAGAGGGCCAGCCCAGCCCCACCTTGGCTGGAGATGGTCGGGAGCCACAGACAACAGCGGATGAGACCCTGTTGATGGTGCAACAGGCAGGCTACCTAGCACACCAGCTATTTCAGCAAGGTGTTTTGCTGGCACAGCCATATTTAATGCTACCAACAGCGTGTTTCTGTGAGCAATGTTTAGAAAGATGCTCTTCAAAGAGTGCTTTCACCTCTGCTTCTCAGCCGAGAACCAGAGGACTGCTTTCCTCCCTGCTATATGGGAGAGGTACCAAGTCACAGAGCGTTTAACCCATGATTTGCATCTAAATAATCCATTGAGTTTGCTGTTGGACCCTGGATCCCGCCATGACCTCCTGGGCAGCTTGTCCCCACTCCCCACATCATCCCATAGAGCCCAGCAGCAGGACCTATGGCTGCCGGGCAGCAGGGGGACAAGAGGGTTTACTCCTGAGCCTTGCAGGCTCCTTTGGTCCCCAGGCCACCTCAATTTTAATTGCATCTGCAGATATTCCTGGGGAGGAGAGCAAGGTGCTTGCCTGCTTCAGGCAGCTGCTCCATCCCAGTGCCTGCTTCCCCCTGCCCGGCTTTGGTTGCAGGCAGGGAAGCAAGCAGGGAAGCAGAGCAGCCAAAGTGCCTCAGCTGCTCAGCCATCACTCACACGTGGCAGCACACGAGCAGCTCTGTGAGCAGCCAGCATCAAGTCCTGACGTATTTCAGGGGGGACAGATGCCCCCTCCAACATCCAAGGCATAGAGTAAGGAAACCACCCTCACATTGCCAGTCCGCTTTCCCACCTCAGCATAGGGGCTGTTCATTTGGGCCAGGATTTGGAGGGGAGACTCCACATGCCAGGAGCAGGAGGCAATGACCGGGGTGTCATGTGGCTGCCTGCAAAGTTGGAAGAAGCCAGAGTGACATGTGGAAAGATAGCACAGAGGAGACAGAAAAGCCTTGCCTGCTGCTCCTGCCTTCTCTTGCCCACCCCGCTGCCCCGGCATCCCCAATCTGGTGATGTGAAAATCTCAGCTTCTGTTTATAATTAACAGGGCCCCAGCCTTGCAGGCTGAGTGAGAAGCTGAGAAAGCATAATCAAAGGGCACCCACCCTTCAGGATTCAAAAACAAGAGAGAGGGAAAAAAAATTAAAACAATCGTACATGTTAAAGCCTGATGATTCACATGGCAAAGCTCCGTCCGGGATAACACAGGGCTGGTGTTTGCTCAGCAGGGATGAGCAGTTGTGCTCTGGTCCCCAGCTGGCCACCTGCCCAAAATAAAAATACCTCCCCAGGATGCACTGCATGATGGGGTCCTCATTTTTACTCAAACAGCTCTTGCTGCCCAGCAAGACACCTTGTCTCACCCCAGTTCTGCTGGACCTTGCAGCTTCCTGTCTGCCACTTTTACCTGCAAATTCAGGCTCTGGCTCTGGGGCCAGAAGCTCCATCTTTACTCCTGCAGATACTGCACCCTGCTTTATGAGAGCAGAAAGATCTTGGCTTGAGATAAACACCAACTGCAGTCAAAACATCACCATGATTAGCCCAGCCAGCCAGCCACTGGCAGAAGGCAAAGGAAAGCCTAACACCAGGCCCATGCAGCTCAACCCATACCCGGAGAGGCCCATTTTTTCCAGTTCCCCATGCTTATCATTTTTTAGCCCTGCTGAAATGAGCTGCATGTGCTCATGACAGGCATCCTCAAAGTGCAAGGCACAGAGGCAGGCGACCTCACATGGGCACTCCTTAGCAGCAAGCTTGGGTCACCGGGCTGACGCACAGCTGAGAGAAAGGCAGAAATGCCTCAAACAGCCAGTAGCCACGATTTAATTTAACTTAAACAGTGGCCAGCACCTCTCGTCTCACCCAGTGCTGCGGGCATCCATTGCTGCACCTTATGGGCTCCCTGCGGTGCCGTTGCAGGACAGGGCTGTCCCGGAGGATTGCTGCGGGGTGAGAGAATGAAGAAGCCGGCTGGGCAGCAGCAGGATGGGGCGGCAGGAGCTCCCACGCGCTGACGGCCCCCTGCCGATGCTCCCATGGCCGCTGGCCCTCCTGGCCCTGAGCACGTGCTGCCGCTGGGGGGTGGCCGATGGGGCGGGTGGCACGGTGCCCCAGCAGCATGCTGCCCCGGCGACCCCTTCCTCCTCATCGTCATCCTCCTCTTCCTCCGGCCGGGCACCCCTCGACTGGCTCCTCACCGACCGGGGACCCTTCTACCGAGCCCAGGATTACGTGGATTTCATGGAGCGCTACCGGCAGGGTTTCACCACCAGGTACAGGATCTACAGGTGAGACCATGGGCACCCCAGGAGAGAGCTGTGGTGTGGGAAGGCTGTGGCGGGTACAGCAGAGTGGAGACACACCTGCTTTAATCCACACAAGCGTTGATTAATCCCTGTGTATGGGAGGAAGCTGCCTATCAGGAGAGTCAGCAGATGGGTGCACGTGAGATGCAGCTTTCCCAGGGTATATAACAGCAGCCCCACAAGATGCTCATGGCATGGCTGGGATCGGCTCCAGGCAGGATTTGCCTAAGCTGGGAGTGATCTGATGCACAGGTTGAGATGGGATCAATGCTTGTGGTGAGAGGCATGGAGGAATACTTCTTTGCACTTTTGCATGCACACATTTCTGTGCTAAATCAGTGAGCCTGCCTGGACTGCCAGCCATTTGGGGCTGGGATGTGGCTAAGGCTCACAAAAAGTCACCCTGACTGACTCTCTGGCATGTTCCCAGTGCTGTCATCCCATGAACTGTGGCAGTGGGATGCTGCAGGTTTAGGGGCCAATGCTGGATGGGGTTGGTTCTTGCCACTAGAGAACCAGGTTCAGCAACAGCAGGGTCCACTGGCTCCAGTAAAGAGCCACCTCATGACAGCCAGCATGGGAAACCCACTCCACCACTTCCGGGTGATAATTGTCACCTTCTGCTAATGAGCCCTCTTCCTTTCCTCTGCTCACTGGTGCCCATCCCTGGGGGTTTCCAGCAGTGGAGTAAAACCCAGCTGCTCTCCCCCAGGGAATCTGACGTAAATGCCAGGACGCCAGCCTTGTTATGCAGCCCAGGACCCGCAGAGAGCTCCTCTCCTCTCTTTGCCACTTTCCTACGCACAGATACTACCATGCCGAGGGACCCGCATCCTCCAGGGATGCTGCTGGTGATGGTGGTGGGATGGGAAAAAGCAGCCAGAAGGACAGCAGCTGGCTTGAACTTCTTCTAAGCAAAGAACCAGATAGCAGCCTTCAGGGCTTGCTTTGACTATGGGATGGGGCGGGGGGAACTGGTGCAGGGCTCCTGGCCACCCAGCACTCTGTGCCCCAGCACTCAGGGAGCATGCCTGCAAAGGGAAGAGCAGGATCCTGCCTCCACTCCACTCCTGGTCCTAACATTCTGCTTTGTGGGCCCAAAAACCATGATGCAAGACAACTCAGCACGCGTCAAGCCCCTCCCTTTGCAGCCATCCACTCCTCCCTCTCCCTCCTTTCCCACCCAGCCCTTAATTAAACTGTCTGAAGCCAAGGCCTGGTTTTAATTAGAGCAAAATGCCACAGATTAGGCTGAAATCAGTCTCTAGTTGCTTACGGGCTGTTGGTTGTTCCAGGCAGTGGCAGGCTGGCAGCTCCGCCGTGGGACTGGGTGATACCGGGAGCCCGGTGGGGCACATTCACAGTGTCTGGGGGCTATGAGGGGACCCACCACCAGCCCCACCACATCCCAGTGCCTCCAGCTTGCTACAGAATGGTGCTAAGACTTACAACTATGGAAGCCCAGATGTTAGATTTTCACCCAGACCCATTGGCACGAGGATGGAGGATGGACAAGGCCCAGGAAGCCCAGCAGCCTGAAAAAGGCTCTGGTCCTGTGCAGGGCTGTGATTAATGCCTGCCGGAGGCGCCTAATTAATCAGTACTAGGTATCTCCGCTGCTTGTAGTTCATTATCTCCATCAATGGCTTAGGGAGGGATGTTTCTTTTGTACTGACTGGATCTATAGCTGGTGAGCCCAACAGATCCTTTACCTCTGCTGGAGCAGTGGGGAGATTGGGGTGGTCCCCCCTGCCCTGAGTTGGAAGCTGTGAACAGTGAAGGGAACAGTGTGCATGTGGCACAGCTGGACCCGCTTCAAACCCTCTCTTCACTGCCATATTCATCCCGCAGAGAGTTTGCTCGTTGGAAGGTGAATAATTTGGCCTTGGAGAGGAAAGACTTCTTCAGCCTGCCGCTTCCACTGGCCCCCGAATTCATCCGCAACATCCGCCTGCTGGGACGCCGACCCAGCGCTCAGCAGATCACCGACAGCCTCATCAGAAAGTATGGGACACACTTCCTGCTCGCCGCCACGCTGGGAGGTGAGCGCTGGTGGGTGCTTGCTGCCCGCTCACTTCCCTTGCACAAGACAGAGTGCATAGGAGAGAGGGTGGGAAAATAGGCACTACAGGAGAAATACGGTCAAGGAGGGGAATGGGGGAGGCGGCAGCACCCAAAGCACTGCGTGTCCTCCCCAGGAGAGGAGTCCCTGACCATTTTTGTGGACAAGCGCAAGCTGAGCCGCAGGGCAGAGCCCACCGGGGTGGCCGGGAACAGCTCGGGGGTCTCACTGGAGACCCTGCACCAGCTGGCGGCGTCCTACTTCATTGACCGGGAGAGCACCCTGCGCCGGCTCCACCACATCCAGATCGCCACCGCCGCCATCAAGGTAAGCGAGGGCGCAAGGGAGAACGCAGCGCCGGGAGACAGCGGCCCCTTCAGCAGCACCTCACCAGCCAGAGGGGGAGAGCAGGCAAAGTTAGCACATTTGTGTTATTTATGGGAAATTGGGCACGCTAATGCAGGCACATTTTTCAGAGGGCTGTAGGCAGGGCTGCCACCTGTCAGCAAGCCAATTAGCAGGCAATTAATCCTCCTCTCCAAGCTTGCTCTGAGGAGTGGGGCATGGCAAGTCCACCAGGGGTTATCTGCAGCACTTTCAGTGGGGTGGCACGTGCTCTGGGTCCCCTCCCGTGTCCCTGACCACCTGTGGGTCTCCCCTTAGGTGACTGAAACACGGACAGGGCCACTTGGCTGTAGCAACTATGACAACCTGGACTCGGTGAGCTCCGTCCTGGTGCAGAGCCCTGAGAACAAAGTGCAGCTCCAAGGTAGGGCTGGGCTGGTGGGGACGTGGTGATGGACAAGTGCCACTGTGGGATGGTTGTGGGCACACGGGGGGCCGCAGAGCAGGATGTTGGCTCAAGATCCTGCTTTTAATTTAGGAGCTGGGGAGGAGAGGGGATGAAAATAATCAAAGCTGGGTAGGATGAGGTTGTCGCTCCTCTGCCAAGAGGAGCCAAGATCGATGCACAGCCCAGACAAGTGGCTCCACGGCAAATTGATATGATAATCATGTAAGGGTGGGAGCCTGGGGAGCGGGAAGGCTCAGTCCCTCCTTGCCCAGACAATGATTTCAAGGGGCTCCACAACACAGGCCCTGATGCTCTTGGGGCTCTTCCTGCTTGCAGGGCTGCAGATGGTGCTCCCTTCTTATCTGCGGGAGAGGTTTGTGGCAGCTGCCCTCAGCTACATTGCCTGCAGCTCGGCTGGGGAGCTGGTGTGCCACCAGAGCGACTGCCGCTGCCAGTGCCAGCCTGCATTCCCCCGCTGCAACTGCCCCGAGGCTGACATCCAGGCGCTGGAGAGCAGCTTGGCCCAGCTCCGGAGAGCCTGGGAGAGCCACCACAGCCAGTTCGAGGAGTCAGGTGAGGCTAAGGACATCCCACAAAGCATCTCCTTCCCTGCAATTTGTCCTTTGGGAGCAGCCCAGGCTGGGTGGTGGGGCTCCAGGGAAGGATTCAGAGCGGTTGTCACACTGTGAAGACCTGAGTTTGGGTGGAGGGGGTTTGCCTCCAGCCCTGCCTGTGCCACTTGCTCCCATGGGTCTGCTGACACCATCTCTCTTCCGGCGCAGAGGAGTTTCAGGCCCTGGTGAAGAGGCTTCCTGGGGACCGATTCCTGAACAGGACGGCCATCTCCCACTTCTGGGCCATGGACCTGGATGTTCAGCATCGCTACCAGCAGCTGGGCACCAGCCTGAAACTGCTCTCTAGGAAAACCCACCGGCTCATCCGGCGGCTCTTCAACCTCAGCAAACGCTGCCACCGGCAACCTCGCTTCAAGCTGCCCAAGGAGAGGTAGTGTACCACAGCATCCCTACCCCACACTGGGGACCGCTGCTCAGAGTCCTGAGGGAGGCTTACACCCAGAGTCCACCTATGGCTGGGGCTTTAAGAGGCCCTGCCCTGCCGGAGGGATGCCTGGGGGCAAGCAGGCAGCAGGGGCAGCCGTGCCACCCTGGAATGTGACCCTGAGAAGTTGAGTCTAAGCCTAGAGGTGGAAAATGGGGCTTTATTCATGGAATGCCATAGGCAGTGCAGAAAAGTGACCACAAGATGGGCAGCTCTTCCATCCCTAGGGAAATTCCTTCGATCATGACCCGAAAGATGCCATGTAAGCATCTCTCCTCCTGTGTCTCTTCTCCACCAGGTCCCTCCCTTACTGGTGGAGCCGTGCACAGTCACTCCTGTACTGCAGCGAGACCACTGTGCCTGGGACCTTCCTGGAAGAAAGCCACAGCTGCACATGTCCCTCCGAGCAGCCGTCCTGCCAGGGGTCCATCCCGTGTGCCTTGGGCGACGGGCCAGCCTGTGCCAGCTGTGCCGAGGACAACAGCACCCGCTGCGGGACCTGCAACCACGGCTACGTGCTCACCCAGGGCTTCTGCCGCCCCCAGGTGGCCGACTCATTGGAGCACTACCTGGGGCTGGAGACAGACCTGCAGGACTTGGAGCTCAAGTACCTCCTGCAGAAACGGGACAGCCGCATCGAGGTGCACTCCATCTTCATCAGCAATGATATGCGCCTGGGGAGCTGGTTCGACCCCTCCTGGAGGAAACGCATGCTCTTGACCCTGAAGAGCAACAAGTACAAGCCCGGGCTGGTTCACGTGATGTTGGCACTCTCTCTGCAGATCTGCCTCACCAAGAATAGCACACTGGAGCCTGTCATGGCCATCTATGTCAATCCTTTCGGCGGAAGCCACTCAGAGAGCTGGTTCATGCCCGTCAATGAAGGCAGCTTCCCAGACTGGGAAAGGACTAATGTAGATGCCTCTGCCCAATGCCAAAACTGGACGCTCACTTTGGGCAATAAGTGGAAGACCTTCTTTGAAACAGTCCACGTCTACTTGCGGAGCCGCATCAAGTCTCTGGATGACAGCTCCAACGAGACAATCTACTATGAACCCTTGGAGATGGCAGATCCCTCCAAGAATCTGGGGTACATGAAGATCAACAGCTTGCAAGTCTTTGGCTACAGCCTGCCCTTTGAGCCAGATGCTATTCGTGACCTGATACTTCAGTTGGACTACCCCTATACACAGGGCTCCCAGGACTCAGCCATGCTTCAGCTGTTGGAGATCAGGGACCGGGTAAACAGGTTGTCACCCCCTGGCAAAACCCGCCTTGACCTCTTCACTTGCTTGCTCCGGCACAGGCTTAAGTTGGCCAACAATGAGGTGGCAAGGATCCAGTCTTCTTTGAGGGCCTTCAATGCCAAGTTGCCCAACGCACTAGAGCAGGAGACGGGCAAGCTGTGCAGCTAACAGCCAGGGCCGCTCCGATCTCAGAGCGAGGGGGTTGGGAGAAAGGACTCCTGGGAGGAGCAAAGGAATAACTACCCTAAAAAATTAAATCAAGGCCTTACCTTAGTGCCAACCGCGTGCTTCCATAGTACATCCAGCGACTGGCCAAAGAGACACAGGGCTTGAGCGGATGGAGGACACCAGCAGGAATATGGAGGAGGGATGGCTCACACAGCGCAAACTGGCTCCAAGCATGGCGACGATGCCAGCACAGCCACTCGGTGGCTGAGGGGACATGCCAATGGTCAGGAGGGATGTGCCTTGGCCACAGGCAGCTGCTGGTCTAGCTGGAGCAGATGCCCAACCTGCCATGAGGATCCTCCAGCAGTGGATCCTCAGCACCCCAACTTTTGTAGTCTTTTTAAGAGAGGTTTATATGATGCCTTCGCTTTTGCATCCTCTGTGGTCCTTCCTGCAGTTGTGCACATGGGCACAGGGGGACACCGCACTGTAGGCCCCTGATACCCGGCAGATCTCCACTGGGGCCTCTTGTGCCTGCTGCACTACTGAGGCATCATCACTCCTCGCATGGGAAGGACCTGGCACCTGCCCCAGGGACACTGCAGTCACTGACACTGGCAGAGACCTCTGGGCCACAATTCCTTACCTGAAAGAGAAACCTAAAATGAAAGAAAGAAAGAAAAGAAAAAAAAAGTTTTATTTATGTATTTATTTATTTGTTTTGTTTGGGAGGGATTTTTTTAAGCCTGTTTATTTGGGGAGTGTCATTTCTTGTCAGTGGCTCCAGCCAAGAGACATATTAGTAAAATGTATCTGTTTAATATATTTTTTAAATAATGCCTTTTTTGAGCAAAAGAGCAACCAAAACCAACGGAGATTAAAGAAAAAACACCCAAACAGTTACTGTCATCTCTGGACCTGGCTTTTCCCTTGCTGCGTGGATCCCTCCCTCCTTCCCAGTGCTGCTGCCACCGTGCTCGGTGCCTGACCAGAATATCAAGCAGCGGCACTGCCCGGCTGTCAGATGGAAACGCTGGGTATCCAGACAAGTGGAGCTCTCCGCTCCGGCAGCTGCCCCACTTTCTTGGCTGAGGACAGTGCAGAGAGAGGAAGGAGCTGATCCTCCAGCCTACAGCATCCTGAAAGCAGGGGGTGCAGCAGGGTACAGGGAAAAGAAGAGGTGGGCAAAAGTGTATCAGTGTGCAGATTAGAGTCTGCTTCCTAATCCTCCCCAGCTGGCAAAACTTGCTTGGTTGGATGCTGCAGAAGCAGCGGTAGCCTGAACTCATCCATCCTGCATCTGTCACCAGCCTGTTACCCCTCTCTTCCATCCTCAGACTGGACAGATAAAGAGATAAGCAGGAGGAAAATAACACCAGGAGAGATCAAGAGATAGGTGAGAGGAAAATAAAATGGGGGTAGATGATTGCTATTTATATTCCCTGTCTAATCTATCAATCCATCAGGCTAGCTATTGTGGTTATAGCATCCCTCATCTGTCACCTGGACTTCTCCATACATCTGTCTTCCTTTGCTCACATCTCCTCCCTTGTCTCCCACTCCTAAAGAGGAAAAAAACAGGCAATTAAACACACCAGGAGGAAATGAGAAGTCAAAGCCATCATCTCAGCTCCCTGGGGGGAGCCAGCAGACATCTGCCCAGGGATGGGGAGGGTATAGGCGGGAGGGCCGCTAGTGCTGTGTGCTCCTGCTGCCGGGAGGCTTCCCAGCTAGAAAGATTATTTTGGCTTTTGCTACACATCTTTCTGAGCCATCACATCACTCCTCCCCATCATCATGTGGGCCATGCATCAGGCTAACATTCCTCTGCTCTATCCTGTCTCCTCCAGCCAAAGCATTTCCTGCCATGCTTTTCAGCATGCTTAACCAGTCACACATCCTGAAGTCACCTGGACATGAATGCAAGAGCCATTAGGATGTCTGGCAGCATCTCAAGGAGCCCCTGACCAAGACATGGTGGAGCAGCTTTCACACAATGGAGAACTGACCCCAGGCTTCTCCACCATGGTGCTGGCTCTAGAGGCAGCAGGTGATGCCCTGATGATGCGTGGGGACAGAAGCAGATGAAGGCTGTTTACGTTCAATTTAATGCAAGATAAGGCAGGGGCAGGCAGGCAGATGTTGGGATGTGCCATCAACTCTGTATGCTCAGCCTCCCCTTCCTGCAGTCCCCCAGCAAGATTTCATCATGTCTTGCCCAAAAGCACTGGGTTTGGCACTTGGTTTAGATGCCCATCAGGAATGAGGCTGTGTATGGCATTCTCAGCCCAGCAGCTAGCACAGCACCTTCTCAGCAAAGCACCCATTGGCAATGCAAGGGCTAGCAGGTGAGGAGGGACAGCGATGCCAAGCACATCCCTGGCCACAGGGCCCCATGCCGTGGGGCTGGACCACCTCTCTACCTGAGTGAAGGAAAGGATGGGATGGCTCCCTGGATTCTGCTGATAAATTGCTGTACTCTGGTACAGCCACCTGCACTTTTTTCCAGGGTAAGTGGGTGAATCAAAGGAAAAGCAGCAGCAGCAGCAGCACTGTGCCCTCCAGCCCCCTGCAAAGGGACTGCCAGGCTGCATGTTAATCCCGGATGGAAGCAGCTGGGTCCTCCCATCCCTGTTCAGCAATTAAGGCACTCAATGGAGGTGATTAAGAAGATGAGGTTAATAACTAGAGGTCAGCATCTGATTACCTTGCAGCACATTCCCCTGCAAAGAACAGTTCCAGTACCAGTAGGGCTGGCTGGAGAGTCACTGCTGCACGGCACCAACAGGATCTGGCCTCGGGGTGCAAAAAGCCATCATGCCACCTTGAACCAGGAATTCAGTGTCAAACCCATTCGGTCTTAAAAGCTGGTGTGTTTGTGGTTATCCTTACCTGGAATCTGGTTTGCAAGCTCCTGCATTTACACAATATTCTCCGCAGCATGAACGCCAGAAAGCTGCTTCTTAAATAACAAGCTGAGCTTCTCACTCTCTTGATTGCAGACACTCCAGTTCCCTCCAGACACGTTTGTTTAGCAGCTCTGCCAGGGAAAAGGAGGCTGGGGAAAGGCCGGGCTGTTTCACCCCCCAGCCCTGGCAGCAGGACTGGATTATCCACAGTGCTCTCCTTCAGCATTCCTGCTTGTGGCTTCCAGGTGTGGGTTGGTCCCACCTCCATCTCCCAGCCCCAAGACAGCCAATGTTAGGCTGTGATTGGCTACACCTGAATCAAAAACCCTCACAGTTCCAGCTATCCAACCTACACTGGTTTTACCCCCCAGTGCTTTTACCCCTTTTCCACAGCACCTGCTGATCCTCCAGCCCTGCTTGTCATGAGGTGCTGCCTTTGGCCTCATGGCCAGGAGCATCTCCGTATCAGGCTGTGCCTCAATAGCAGGGATAGTTTTGCCAGGATGGAGAGAGGCTTTGGGGCCAAGTCTGCATCCCTGCTCTAGCCCACCTGAGTTATCCTCCTCATAGCTCCCAGCTGATGCTGTCAGCCTGGGAGAAGAGCATGTGACACACAAGGGGTGAAATATCCCCAGGAAAGGGTGGAGGGTTGGGGAGGCTTCAGGTAACACACTTTGCTGGCAGATACTCTTTTTCTTTTCATGCAAACAGCACATTGGTGCAGATTTTGCTTGAAATTCATCCCTGCAGTCCCTGCCCTCTTGGTCCAGGCTGCAGGATGGGCAAGAAGTGGAAATCAGATGATTTGCTTGGCGGGAGGCTTCACGCCGAGCATTTTGCCGAGGGCTCCTCCAGCTTTGTCAGCCACACATAACCACCAGGCAGCTGCCAACAGAGCTGTTTTGCTGTTTGACAGCATTTCTGGGGGAGGCAGGCGATAGCAAGCTGCCTGCAGACCTCTCCGCCCCGGCACAGCGCTGCTCCAGCTTCTTCCATGTAACACAGTTTGTCCACAGGTACCAGAAATGCCCCTGGAAGCACATGGGATCACCACTTACTCTCCCATCTAACCAACCAGACCATGGGATGCTATTCCTGGGCAACCAGGATGCCCAGGTTGGGTAGTGCCACGGCTAGGAGCAGCTCTGCCACACACAAGCCCACAGAGACTTGCCATCATTCTCTTTCAGCTCAAGGCTCGTGGAGGGGGGGTTCACCACCACCCCCTTGCTTCCCCCACCTCTCTGAAGCCCAGCGACATCTGTGTAGCCACAAGGCACACCGGAACCTCACCATCTCTTTTAGCTTCATCTTTTCCTTTTTTCCCCTTCTCCTGACAGGCTCAGAAGTGCAGTCAAGGTGGCAAATTAGCACCAGAGCCTCGTTAATTGGCAGGCAGGAGCCTTCTCCCGCTGTTTGGGTTGTCATCAGCTGCTTCAGCACATTTTTAGTTTCTCTCTGTTTCGGTCTATTTTCTCCCTTTGCTGACAGTAGGCTGGATTTTTTCTCTCTGCTCCAGCTCTCTGCTGTCTCTTTCAAAGCCATCAAGGGCTCTCATCCTCCCATGCCATGCTCCCTGGTGTTCCATCTCTGGAGAGGATTTACAGGGCCTGCAGTAAATGGCCACTTCTTAGGAAGCATGGGGGGACGATTAACAGGCTCTTGAAATGATGAGGACCTCATCTTCTTCCTCCTTCCTCCTCCTTCTCCTCCTCCTCAGCTTCTTGCTGCAGTCTGAAAAGAAGGCAGAAAGGGCTGCAAGGAGCACGTGGGGAGGAGGCAGGGAGAGGTTGCTATCAGCCCAGACATGCAGGAGAGGTCCCAGCCACCCTCCCGTGTCCCCTGCCAGGAGTTTAGTGAGGACCTAGGATGACTCAAGATTCAGGGCACCTCAGGAGGTCTATTCCCAATTCCCCAGCTCCCTTCTTCCCTCTGTACTGCCTCCTCCTTAAGCAGAAATGGAAAAGCATAACCTCACCCACCCATTAGTACCAACGCAACCCCACTGCCTGCACCAGCCCTTGAACTCGAGTGCTCCCCAGCTGCTCCCCACTCTCAAGGAGAACCTGAGGACCACTTTAGACACCATCAAATAACATACTGTCACAGCATCCCATTCTGCAAGCAGAGAAACTTGCAGGGTTCTGCAGCCGCTGATGGCAAATTGCTTTCTCCTCCCCAGGCTCAGAGCTGGGAGCTGCTGCTGCCAGCAATGGTACCATGTCCATTAAATATGGGTGCTCTGCCCTGGGATGCCACCGCAGCCAGTGTAAATCAGCAGCACTGGGGCCAGGGGCATCTCTGATTCACAGCCAGCAGCCTGGGTGCAGGACTTAGCTCACTGGGCTGGACCCTCAACCCATGGCCCAGCTGCCCCCTGGACACTGCTCCCAGGGGAGGGACCTCTTGGCTCTGCTCCTGGGCAGTGGGTTGAGATGGATGGTGCATTTTAGAAGGATCTCCCTGGAGGGCAAAGCTCTGTGAGAAAACAACCAGAACAAAGCTGCATGACAGACCGTTTGCTCCTGCTGCACGTGCCAGGAGCAGACGCTGGATCATGGGCAGACAGAAGGAGAGAGATCAGGCTGCTCCTGCTCCGTATGAGGACACACAAACCCTCCCAGCTGATCTGCCTTGAAATTAGCAGTGGGTACTACATCAGTTGCCACCTTCCAGCTTTTCCCTTGATACGATGCCCCATGACAGTTCCTTGCCCCTGGCATTATTGATCCACTCAGGGAGATGGGAATTGAAGGAGAAAAGCATCTCAGGGACCTATTTCTCCACCTGTAGCACATTTCATCACTGGGAAAGCCTGTGCCACCAGGATTTATTTCCCACATTGTTTTCCCAAACTAGCTTCTATGGTTGTTTCACCAAAATAACAGTAAAAAAAAATATGGCATATAAACCAACCCAAATAGTGTCCAGGGATGTGAAACCCTATAAATCCCAGGAGGCTGCTGGGAGAAGAGCAATGCTCAGATC